GTATCTAGTCGAAGACATTACCCTTCAAAATTGAAAAAATTTCCCTCGTTCCCCGTAAATGGGGGAAACCTCCAAAAAAATTACAAATTTAAAAATCGCTAATTTTCGAAATTTTTTCAATTTTTTTTACTAAAAACTGCCGTAACTTTTTCAAAAATGAACATATCAATATAATTTTTTTTTTTATAGATGCTTGATGTCTTTACCTATTCTTTGGTATATTTTGTTTGTAAATTTGATCCTTTTTCTGCCCACAGGGGGGGATTTAAAATGACAACTTTTTCAAAAAAAATTAACTTTTTCAACTTAACTTTTGAAAATGTTCCGGAAGGTCTGACACTTTTATATATATCTTAAATTAAAGCTAATGTAATATACTTTAATTTGAAAAAAAAAAATTTGACCTCTGGACTTTTCTTCACGGCGAAAATGGCTACCGAATGCTCATTTCGTGTGAAAATTCTCGATTTTATTATTCATATTATATTTAACTTTATAATGCTATAATTTATTAAAAAGTTTATGGATCCACACAATTGTTTTATGAGAAATAATATTTTTTAATAAACCCTTTTTCATTCGACACACTTTTTCTTAATCGAGATATTAAGGAACCAGCAGATCAAGTAGCTTTTGGAATAAAACACCAATTTTTTTAAAATTAAACACTATCTAAAGATTTGCATCGAAGCGTTTTTTTTTGATAGTGATTTTAATCACTGTCAGATATCATTATACTTGATCCAACTATACCACGTCACAACTGTGCCGCGACCCCCCTGTGCTGGGTTTTTTTTTCTTTAAAACTAAATGACACTTAGGGATTTTAAAGTGAATTTTGTTTTGGTGAATCTTTTAATTTAATTTAATTTGTTCATTAAATAATCATGTTTTATTTTACCATGGAAATAAATATCAATTAATATTGTTGTCTTGGTGATTATTGTGGCGTATCCTTTCAAGGTGCTTTATTTTAGCACCGGGACACATTGGGCCACCACAATTCCGCCTTGACAAATCTTTTACATAGATATAAATATTTCTGAATCTTGTTTTGGCCAGGCCAGAGGAAAATTTAAGAAATATTGGTGTCGATCTCTCAATAAAATATAATCTCTCAAACATTATACTCATTCTACAAAGTGAACTAAGAATACGTTATTTGATTATAATTATAAAATAATATAGAGTGTATAGAATCTCCTGCATATAATAATGCAGTCATAGATTTTGTGTAACGGTTTCGCATTATTTATAATTAAACGCTTTATTCTCAAACGGTCATATTTACTATCGAACTCGTAGTGTACAACGTGTGAAATACAGAGTGAACTCATAATCAACAGTGGATTGTCTAAAATAAGCATGCCATTTCGTGCCATATTAAGTAAGTCTAATTTAAATTTCCGCTTTTCTTTCTTTTTCTTTTTGGTTTATTACAACTATTATCATGTATAGCTGTATTATATTGTACATTACTATGACACTTTTTATATAATTAATAAAGAATTACAGATGGTGTCCCTTGATAATAGAGATCTCCCACAAAACTAATCTAATTAAAATGTTTCCGCTAAAATCATATCCAGTAGTTGGTCTGCTTCCAAATCTATCAAGTATCCTCTTTACTACTCACCTCGATTGTCTAGGCCTGGAAGTTGAAGATTAGAATTTATTCTGAGTTCAAATTTATTCAAATTCAATTACCATCACATTATAAAATCTTGAATCACACACGAAACCTCAGATGAGTTATTTAAAAGTTTATAGAATAATTATTGCTGAGCTTCCTTCAACTATTATACGCTAAGTTATGTTAAGTCTATATTTTTATTGCATTCACTTACACTAGTATTCTAACAGATCCTGAATATTCGTAAGTTTAGTTCAGGTCTGTTCTTTACAAACCTTCTTATCCACACCCCGTCAAAGGTAATTTACTTTCTTTAGTAGTAACTCAATCACAAAGAGTCTCGTATATTATATTGGATAATACTAGTTGACGAAACAACGGCGACTACTCACCTACACTTATTCATTATCTCCATCCAACTAACTCTATTCTTCTTTTTGAGTTACTACAGACACAATCAATTACTCAGTGTAAGGTTTCATTGTTTTCCCTCATATCTATTCTCAAATATAAGTCATCCTGTATTTTTGAATACTTTGTAATATTCTTAAATCATGAATTTAATTGAAATCATCAATCAATTGAAAAATGATATATAACAGTAACTATAATCTTTGTTTTTAATTTTTAACATTGATAAATATTAATATGTGATTGGTATAATTTTTTTATAGTTTGGACTTTTTGTTATTTTATTTTAGTATTTATTTTTTATTATTTGATTAAATTTTTATATTATACAAAAATATCATATTTATAAATCTAATTGATATCGTTTACATTGAAAGTCACCTTAGGTATGGTAGAACCACGACTAGTGTTGAATCTAACTATGTTTTTAAACATAGTTAGATAAACTAAGTTTTTATTTTAATAGTAAGCGGTATTTTAGTTTTTAACATAATTTTTTTCATTTATTAGATATAAAAACTGAACATTTCAAATTTTAAGTTTATATAACAATAACATTTGAAATAGTATTTTAGAATTGACACGACTTACGTCGTAAAAATGTGGTCGACACTGGTTTTGAGGGTAGAGACCCGTGGGCCGTTTATTAAATGAGCGACAACAGATTATGTTAACAAAAATAAAACAAACCGAAAAGATAAACACAGTAATAATAATCTTCGCATAATATCGCGGCACTTTCGCTGGCGTCGACGACGCGATGTTCGGCGTAATCCTTGGACGGCAAAATGGTTAGCAGCGTTGTAGGCGACGGTGCGCGGGTGCGGTTCGGCTGTCGACGTTGTCGCTTTCACAACGGGAGGAAGACTCTCGCACCATTTGCGGCGGGTCGTCGTCGGCCGTGCGGCATTTGCTGGACTTTGCACCGTAGCGTATAACACGCGGTGTTGGTCAGTCAAATACTCATAGTAGGGCGACGGCTGATAAAGGTGGCACGAGTCGCGGGGCATCGTGTATAACGAAGCGACGCGGGCCGTGTCAGAATTTAAAGTAATGACTGGTGATGAGAAATGAGTCATTATCATTAGTTATTTCACGGCCGTATTGTTCGTCTTGCCTAGATATAAAAGTATTAACAACTTTTGAAGTACTGGTTCAGAAGTTGTCATCGACCAGTCCTATTCTTAATTAGATTATTTTCTATTTTATAATGTAATTAAATATGTATACTGCCATTTAAAAAAAAATGAAGTTATAGTCTGTACAAAGTTATAATAATTATAATAAAATTGACATAATTATTTTTGTGTCATATTCAATGATGCGATTTAAAATAAAAAACGTGTAAAGATTTTAAATATATTACTTTTTATAATGATTACACAAAACAAATGTGATTACTCCCGACTAAATAACTATTCCATGTTTATTTTTTAAAATAAATATGGGACACGAATCTGTAACCAAATATTCATAAAATACAAATTTTACTAAATATGATCTAAAGAATAGATTTATTGTATATATATATATATATATATGTATTATTTGTTTTATGTACTTAAATAAATATTACAAATATAATTATTTATGCAGAATTCATATATAAAACTATGATATTTTAGATTAAATATTACAATATAATTATTTCATATTAATACTAAAGAATATATCTGGTCAATAAATTTAGGTATTTTTTTAATTTAAAAATTTAACATAATGATGATATTATTCTGCAACTATTTTGTATTTTTATTTTATTCATTATTTAAATTATGTAAAGGTAAGACTACATTTTATTATTTATTAAAATATTATTTTTAACTGAATAATTTACAAAAATTTATGACCTTTATTTTCACGAACAAAGAAGTAAGTACTTTGGATCATAGAACAAATGATTGTTTATAAAAATGTTTTTTTACAAAAGTAAATAAAACGCTTTACATCATTCAAAATATATTTTATTTTAATGAAATTTTCAGCACAAGTATTTTAAATATACAGAATATCCCACCAAATATTGATATCCTTCACAAAATTTGAAGTTTTTAATAAGCTAAAGTGTTTCTAAATGTAAGAGCTTGATACAATAATTAAAAAAAAAAAATGTTGTTATTAATGAATAAATACACTAGTCTACAAGATATTTTCATCAGCGACCAAAATAAACTTTTTTAAATTAAGTTTTTCGCCATTTTTCAATCTGCAATTGAATTTTTTCTATCGTTTTTTTTTTTTTTTTTTGAGAGTTTTTTACTAGTTAGTAAAAAACGAGTATAAAGTATTACGTTTTCTGTTTAAATTATTTATTACAATAATAATGCAAAAAAAACTAAGATTATGATTTTTTCAAATATTTAGTTTTTCTCGTAAATTTACCGTTAATTCTAAATTTGCAAATTTACCTAAAATAATATTAATAGTTCAACATTTTCAAATTATAAACTGTCATATAATCAAATTGAAAGAGCAAAAAAATAAAAAGTGTTGGATACACATTGATCAAAATTTGCTGTCGAAGAATTGTGTCGTGATTACTTATGCTATCGTTGTGCTACACCGAGTTGTTATCAGTCTTATCTCTATGTCTGCATTGTCGCCGCCATCCACATTGGTGAACATTAGGGTGTCCCTTATTTTTTAAATTTTGAAAAGTCCTAATTCTTACCCCCCCCCCAAATTTTTGTGTATACACGTAAAAAGTACCCTTAAAAAAGTTAAGGTCGATCAGACAACTTTTACCCGTGCTGACTTGGGGTTGAAAATCGACCGAAAGATGTAGTCTTTTGCAATTAACTTGCGAATATGTGCTCCCACAAAAAAATCATTGAAGCTAAATTGTAGATATAATTGTTTAACATAATTTATATTCTTACAACTTTTCTTCAAAATCCATTATTTTTCCATAAAAATTATAAAAAATGTATTATTTGTTGATATTGCCGAAATTGGGATATTTACAAATATTTTGTCTTATCTGGCGAGCATTTTATGATAAAGCTTAATGATTCATATAAAAATGTTCAAAATGTAGTTTTCTATACAAATGACTATTAACTTATTTTTATTTGACAGTTCCTTTCATTGTTGCAGATAAATAGCTCTAAAATATTGTTATTACTAAATACGAGCTTCATGATAGCATAATTTATCAGCTGGTATCGTTGCTCATTATTACTATAACAATTACTATTACTACGTCCATGTAAAATAAAAATTCTATTGTGATCGTTGTGTTGTGTTAACTTATTGTTTATTTTTTTAATTTATAAATAGAGTGGAAATTGTAAAATGATTTTAACTAAGATAAAACGAACTCTTTGCTTGAAGTGCTTGAGGATATATCCATGTTTGCAGTTGAACTGATATATCCTCAAGCATTTCAAGCAACAAGACAATCCATGAAAGATTTAATACTTTCATAAAAACGAAATCTAACAAAGGATACCATTTTAGTCACTTGCATCGTGTATTCGATTGAATTGTTAGTTAGCGTGATTTTAATTTCTTAAAAAATATAATAATGCCCAAAACATTACGAAGTGATGATAAAATATTTTTAATAGGATCTATTTCTTCTCAAATTTTGCGATCAAAGTTTCCGTCCATCCGCCAAGTTATGTTAGTTTTTTTTTATAACATGAGAACTGTGAACTTAAATATTAGAGAAAGTGCAGCATTAGCTATTCGGGAGTGTAATATTTTTTGGGAAAAAACCCGTATTCCTACTCGTGCAGTTCAAAACTCTATTAATAAATTTTTTAAATTTTATGAAGAATGGTGTGCCTTACAAAAAAATTCGCAAAAAGTTGGTGAAATTTTTAGAATAAAAGAAAACGAGTTTAATAATAATCTTAATAATTTATTTGATATTGCACATGTCAATGCATTAAATATAATTAAAATAGATAACGATAAACAGTTTTTAATTAACCAAAGACTTCCTGGTTGAGTGGGTTGCTTAGGTGGAATTGACCAAAACTTACAAAAAAAAGAAGATACTTCTAAAAAGCGAAAAGAAAGAGAAGCAGAAAGACTTGCACTAAGTAATAAGCAATTTTTCGAATTTTCAGGTCCCTCTACTTCTTCCTCTTTACTTAGAACACCTGATTTACAGGAAAATATGGTTTCTCAATCATCGTCATTCGATACTGATAACGATAAATAGTGTTTTAATGCAGAAAAAGAAATAAAAAAGAGGTACAAACATTTTATTTCACCAAAACTTGTGGCTGCATTAGATAGGTGTAAATTACGTTTACGAGATTCTGTCTATGTACATCACGATGTTGATACTCTGGTCATAAATGTCTTCTATACACCGATGTCGTAATGCGTTACGTACAGAACGGGCTAGTTTCACAAAAAAAAATTTTCAAAATAAACTCCCTTCACATATTGCTGTACATTGGGATGGAAAGATTCTGCTGGCTTTAAATTCAAGAGACTCTGGTGTCGATAGACTACCAATTATTATTACCGAAAAAATATAAAAATGTTAATTGGTATTCCACAATTAAAAATTCAACGGGATATGAACAAGCTAACGCTGTTTATAGTGCGTTATAAGATTGGGGCTTGTGATATGAACGCTATTCGTGATATATGTATTTTTATTATTCGATATTATTTAAAAGCCGTACTAAATTTAGCTGTACTGAAGCGGCTAAAGCTCCGGTTAACGATTTAAATTTTATAAAAACTTTAAAATTGTACGAAAAAGAACAGCTGATCACTTGAAAGCAGCTATAAACAAAATTTGTAATCACTTATAGTATTTAACTGATGAAACTTCTGCTCTAGCATTTTTTGACTATATACTGCAGAATGATATTAAAAAATTAATGGTTGAATCGTTAAATAACGTTCCAATAGGTAATATTTGTAAACGGTTTATTCTCACATCGAATGATATAACGGAATCGTTTTTAGATAAATCGAATTAACTTTATGCCTTTTAGTTGATCAAATAGTTTAATTATCATTTTTTTTTTTTTTTTAGAAAAAATAGTGGTTTCTTTTTTGTCCAAAAATAGTATGCAATTTTTTCATCGTTTGGGAATAAATACAGATTTTTTTAAATTGCATCCACTTCATTGTAGTGCTAATGATAGCTATTTACTTTCAAGAGAAATTGTTAATTCATTAAATGTTGTTAATGTTAAATAAAAGACTACCTATTTTGGTCGATTTTCAACCCCAAGTCGGCACGGGTAAAAGTTGTCTGATCGACTTGAAATTTTTTAAGGATACTTTTTACATATATACACAAAAATTTGGGGGGTAAGAGTTAGGACTTTTCAACATTTTAAAAGTAAGGGACACCCTAGTGAACATATACGATTTTATAATTCATGTATAATACATTTAATTGTTATAAGTTTAGAAAATTCATTCTACATTCATTCATACAGTTCACTCACAGTATTCCTTTTTATCGATATACCCTGATTTAATAAAGCAACAAACTTTAACAAACACGCGTGAGCACTACCGGGTTCTGTGTTCATGAAATAAGTATGAGTAAGACTATAGTTTTATAAACGCATCAATCGCACATCGCATATAGAGGTAGATAAAACGGGCGATTAAAAATTTCGGAGTCGTTTTTCTTAACTTGGGGGAGGCAAAATATTCAAAATAAGTTTAACTATATATTCAATGTAAGTTAGATTGATGTAAGTTTTATGAAAATCGGTGGTCACATTTCTATGGCAAACATTTATAAGGTGTTTTAAAATAAAAAATTCGCCTAATTGTATAATTTTTAAAAAGTAATAACGGTGTAAAATTTAAGTTGAAAAAAAGTATGCTCAAAGACAATTTTATTTAAATTTTTTTAAAGGAGGGGCCCTTATATTTTTTTCTTGATTTTAGAAAACGTACAAAATTAAAAATAATTTTGAACAATAAAAATAGCATGTTTTTTTTATACCACTGCAGCTATTTGCATTTAGAAGATAAGTCGTTGGGACAATTTTTTTAAATTAATTGTACGCAACATAATCTTTAATTGAAAATATGTTTAAAGGATTTAACACATCATAATAAAATGTTTTCAGGTGATTTGTATACTCCTATGACTAGTTACGAAGATTTTCTGAATAAAGAAATTGAAAAACACAATCCGCATCTAAAAGTAGATGATATAAAATCATTAAAAAATTATGTAGAAAACGATACTGAACTTAAACAGGTTAAAGGTATTTAAACATTTATATGAGATCACTTACTAAATTTTCCTCTCTGAATTATTTGAAAGTTATAATATTGATTTATGTCACTTATTTAAAAATATCTTTTACATTATTATTGTTTATTTATTATTTATTTCTTGTGTTTTTATTTAGATAAAGAACTTATTATATTTCTGCATAGTGCTTCATTTATAGTGGATGATGCATATAAGACTATAAAATATAATTACGAGTATAGATCTCTTAAACCAGTATATTTTACTTATAAAGATCTCACATCACAGGAAATGATACAAGTAAAAAACATCATGTAAGTTGAACTGAGCTAAGTAGGCCTATTTACTATTGCGTTTTTAATATTTAATTTGGGTTGTGAAATTCGAGAGTTTAATACAATAAGTATAAATGTAAATTAACATGTATATTTAAATACAATTTGGCAGATTTTCGATAGGAAAGATTAATTTAATTTTAGTCTAAAATTAGAATAAGTTATTTAAAATTTTAAGTATTATAAATTTAAAACTAAAAAATATTAAAAATACTTAACTCAAAAGGCTACAAAAAAATTACTAAAAAATCGTAGATGCGTATTTCGAGAACAATGTTACTGTTATCAACGCTAAGCATTTACTGACATCAATTAAGTAAAGTGAGTTTAGTAAAAATTGAAAAATATTCATGACTCATACAGGATTTAAAAAATAAAACTGATTTTATTTAAAATCATATAAGAGGAATTCTATAGTAATAATAAAGAAAGAAGATTATTTTGATAGAGTATCAAAAATGATTCAAAAGGGTCCTTATAAAAAAATTTTTAAAAAATCCATTTAGTCAAATGATAACGGAGGATATTATTACATACGTTATCAATAGTTCAAGACTAATAACTCAAGAAAGTTCAGATTATTTATTAAAATTTCTAACCCTCAAATACCCAAACTACATGTATTGCCACATATACATAAGCCGGGAAATAATATGAAAACTGTTGTGCCGAATATTAATGCCCCTACTTAAAAAACTGGACGTTATAATAGAAATAGCTATATTTAATGAAAATGCCCCTTCTTACAACTTGGATTAAGGACTTACTAAGGGTGTTTTCATCTATTTAAACATTTTTATATTTTTTTAGTTAAAAATAATTTTGACTTATCTGGTTATGCTACTCAAAATAATATAACTTTATTTAATCATTATAAACTTAACTCGTAGGACTTTAATTTTCTAATGACATATTTATTTCTCAACTCACTGAACCCTGAAAATTATCAAATTACATGCACACAATCGATATTAGTGAATAAAATATAAACCACTTACAATATCAGTGACTATTGAAATTTTCGTCTCAAGTGTATTACAATGCGATACTTAATAATACTTTATTTAAATAATTCACATACAGTTAATGGCAGAATGATATTTTCTTCCAACGGATGGTGTAGGTTTGGATCTTTCTAAATGATTATTGATACAATTAAAAGTATTCGATGCATTAAGAGATCTTCGGTATACTGTATATGTCTATGTCAAAATTCTTTTGTACTGTTTTTTAGCAGAGTGATTATTTTATCATGAACCTTATACTTAATCAAAAAATAAAAATAATATTAAACCTTTTTTATATATTTAACCACATTTTTTTCTCAATTTCATTAACCATAAAGGATTTTTCTTTTATTTATATTCCTAATTAATAATAACACAAATTTTTAAATAAAAAAAAGAATGTACCAAAATTAAGATCAGTAACTAGTTATATATTAGGCTACCATTTTTTTTTTTTTGTTATAATCAATACAAACAATAATGATATCTTTTAGGTAGAAAAATTGTATTTTTAGAAGATTTAAATAGAATATCTAGAAAAAAAAAGAAAGAAAGAAATGTCATTCTGTAAAAACTGTCAAGGTTGTAATGACACACAAAATGATTGTGGCAAATACCTATGTGTTAAGTGTAGCGAAAAGCACGATTCTGTAGTATATCTTAAGTTTAAAAAGACTCAATTAAAATGTGCTGACTGTGATTAAAATAACACAGTTAATTGGAAAGGATACTCCATCTACAAATTAGCTAATGTAAAAACTAATCCAAAAAGAGACTGATTTTCAACTTGTACAGTCAATTATTCATCAAATACAACGAAAAGCATTTCATACGCTTTTTACATAACAAAAAAATCTAAGTGGAAGAGCACGTAGAGATACTGCAATAGTCATAAAAAAATCTACCAAGCATTTTGAACTTGAAAAATTTTAACACAAAGCAATACAAACTACTTGTGTGTATATCAATAATGGAATTAACTACTGTCGTACGTCGGTAGTACCGCGACGTAGACACAAAAAGAGTATACAAATTAATTAATACTTTTAACGAAAAGTTCGTCGTTTTTGGCTCTTCTCGAGCCCTCCCATTAGATACACTGGTCAGCCCCAATCCCTTCAATTAGTCAACCACAAAAGGGGTAGGTTTTAGACCCGTCAGCACGGTTTAGCTCAAAAAGTGGTAGACTAAAGTGGTGTAAGCCACCAGCACAACTACCTTTTCACTATACCTACTAAAGGACGATTAAGCCCAAAAACTAGCCAGCACGCACACTAGTTGTGAAGATCGGCTAAAAGACAAGCAGTCCAACCTTGACTCTAGCTACATACACACACACAATTTTAATAACACAGTGGACACAAAGTATTTACACTAAGTGCAGGTTTCGAATAGTTACATTTTATTTACGAAACGTAATAAACATAACATCAAAATACAATATGACAATGTACAATATAAATTAAGCCGTTCAAAATACAAGGTTTCACGCACCAAACCTCCTGACCCGTGACTAGACGTTACTTGGTGATAATGTCAATCCCCCATTACTTTTCGTGTTTCCCTTTATATATTTTTTTCTCATAATTTTTAATTTGCTTACCCTGCATTTTCTCTTTATAGGGTCAAGTGGGGTAAATGGAAATTGAGGCAAAAGGAAAAAAATATTATTTAAAATAAATTATTAGTCATTATAGAATTACAAATACTAATTTGAAAATTGCTTACTACTATGTTAAAAACTTATACTGTACTAATATCGAAGTTATTTAATACTTTTTCAGCTATTTTATGCTAAAAAGTAGCAAACACTACTTAATAGTTTTAACAGTATATTTTCCTACTTCAATGCAAGTCACTAAAAAACATTTTATTCAGTTTTTTTCCGAACTGTAGGCGATAGAGTTGGGGTAGCGATAACAACACAAGTAAAGGTAATCAGCTATATGAAGCCTAAATTGAAGTTAATGTAGAAAATATAACAACTTGTAAGCCAATATATTTGCCTATAGATTTAACCTAACTTGCTTGATAAATTTATACATAAAACTGTAGCCTCAAATTACATAAATATATCGTTGAAATAGCAGACCTAACATCAAACCATATTTTTTTGTTTTATTTATTTTGAATAATAAACGCCTATTAGGCATAAATTACAGACAAAATGAACAAAAAAGAATATACATATAGGTTTAACAAAAGTATAAGAATAGATAGTATCAATATATGAGAATAACATACAACAACAAAAAAAAAGGGAAAAAAAAGCATATACAGATAGTACATAATTCTAATTAGAATTTATTAATATAAAATCGATGCACTAAATACAATGTGTCTCTTGAACAATTTTTCATTTTATGGGGTGTATGAAAAAAGAAATCAAAGTTTTCGATTTTATTACTTAATGACAACAACATCCGGTTTAGCGGTGCGAAGATACAGTAGTTACGCTTGAATGTAGGAACACGGAATGTATAAGTAGACCTTAAAGAGAATTTCGGGACGTTGAAGAAACTAGAGATAAAACCTCAGGACAATCAATATTAGAATTTAACAATTTATACAGCCAGTCCAAATCATTAAAGTGCCTTCTAAAATCTAGCGTTTCTAAATTAAAATCTATTGCTACAGATTTTAATATTTGATTGACTCTATAATATAGACATATTATGTCTTGTATGCTAACACCCGTAAAAAGCGATTTTGTATGTGTTCTAATTTTTGAATTTGGTAATCTTGGCGTGGGCTCCAAATTATTGATCCATATTCTAAATTTGAACGAACAAAGGAAAAATATAAAACACGTAAACGGATGGGATCATTAAACTCTCAACAGTTTCGGTTCAAAACCCCAAATAAACGTAAAGCTTTGTTTGTAATTATATTTATATGTTCAGTAAATGAAAGATCACAAGAAAAAGTAATGCCTAAATCTTTTACCTTATTTATAATATTCAGTTTTTTACCATTTATTTGGTATTGCGTATTTAAGTTTTGTTTGTTCATTGTAAATGTTATTTGAAAGCACTTTTCTAAATTCAGATTAAGATAATTATTTATGCACCATAAATTAAGTTGATTAAGATCGTGTTGCAAATGATTAGAGTCTTCTAAAGTTAATATAGACATATACATTTTTTAAGTCATCAGCAAATAATGAAAATTTACAAAAATGAAACATATAATTAATATCATTCATAAACAGTATAAATAAATTAGGCAATAAATGACCACACTGTGGTACGCTAGAAGTTACATTTATAATCGACGATAATGATTCTCTTATTTTAACTTTTTGGGTTCTATTTGATAAGTAAGACTGAAACAAAGAAAGAATTGAATTATGAGCTCCAATCATTTTAAGTTTATCAATTAAAATATTTATATTAACAGTATTCTTAATATCGGTATAGACTGCATCTACTTGGATGCCATTAATTATTGAATGAACTAAATCAGAGTAATTAACCATTAAATTTGTTAACGTGGATTTCGATTCACAGAAATCGTGTTGGTTGTTTACTAAAACATTTTTAAAAATATTAGACACTTTAGGTTCAAGAAGTTTTTCAAAGAATTTTGGCAGGACACTTAAGCAAAATATGGGACGATAATTATTAATATGAGCGCGATTTCCTGGTTTAAATATTGGGTAAATGAAACTAGTTTTCCAGAAATCAGGAAATACACTCTATGATAAAGATAAGTTTAATAAATAATGAATTGGACGAGTTAAAGTATAACAACATTTGCGATAAAATGTTTCTGGAATCTGATCAGTGATATCCCAGTGATGACGATATTAAATTTGTACGTAATAAAAAACAAAGGAATCCTATGCTTATTAATAAACATAATAATTGGAAAGGCTTTCGCGGCCATCTAGAAAAAAATATTGTTTTGTCCATCAAACTTAAGTCAACAAGAGACATTGAGACAGCTGTTGATTAATTTAATTTTCTCTTTTCTTCTACGGATAATTTAATTCAACTTAAAGGAAGTGTAAGAAAAAACAATGGCATCAAAAAAGACATGCAGTGAGCAAAAACGAATCCAATCCACTTAACAAAATTGTATAAGAAAAAATTTACCAAGTAAAATGGAATCTTTTGTGTCCTTTTGAAAAGGCTAGGCTTAATTTTTAATATAAGAACATAATTGTATTAAAAAATATACATACATATCAATGCTATCACCATAACATTTTATTTATTTATTTATATATAAGAAACAGGTTATAAAACCCTTTAGAAAATGTATATAATTATGTGTACATTTTGAACTTAACTAATAGTGAAAAATTTAAATAGCTTATATATATTGTTTGAATAACACAATTAAGATGTATTAATAAATGATAATAATAATAATAATAATAACAACTACATAATTATAATAAAATGAATAAATATAACAACAATGAACAGGAAAAAGGGAAAATTACTAATAAATCAGGCCATCAATTTAAACAAGCAAAATTAAGGCAATATACATATTTTGTCTGAATACATTACGTGAAATCAAAATAATCCATTTTGCAATTCGCCAGTGATAGAGCTCTGGGAAAAATGAAGTAGAAGTATAATAGTATTTTATAAATAGGAATACAAAATAAGTTGGACTTCTTTAATCCGAGAGTGGGTACATTAAATTCAATAAGATATAGTAATTCTGGAGAATTAATATGACCATATAATAAGTCGCATATAAACATAATATTTGCAGCATTTCACTTCAAGTTACAAGATGTAATTCTCAATTAGGTAATCTGCACATTATATAAATCTCTTGAGATATGAATATTAAATTTAAAACATAAAAGTTTTAAAAATTTATGCTGGACGTTTTCAATAATATTTAAATGCGAAAAATAGTGCAGTGACTAGATAATTGACTCAAGATGAGACCTTACCAGAAAAAATAGTGTTGTTAAAGCGATGGTATTTTTAAAATTAATCATGCTCCTATTAATGAATCCCAGCATCTTAAAAGCTGTTTTAAAAAGCTATGGAAGGAAAAATCCATAGAAAAATGAAAGATATTCTTAAGTCTCTAATTAATATAACTCTCATAACTGAATAATTATCGTACAATTATAGATATTAATTTTATTTAAACGAAAAAACATAATTATGTTACACTTTTTATAAATTTAAAGGTAAACGTTTAACACGGCTTCAATCAACAAATTTATTCAAATTTGATTGTAAATTTAATGCATTATTTGGAGATTTAATAACCGAAAATAATTTTATATCGTCGGCAACTAATAAGATGTCAACTGAGCTTTTAAAAATATAAAACAAATTATTAATGAATAATATAAATAAGAGGGGACCTAAGTAAGACCCTTGAGAAACACCAGAATGATGATATCAATCATCATAGGGAAATTAAACTATTCAGATGCTTTAACAGTTATTAAAATGAATATTGAAAAAATAAGAGGTAGAGGAAGACCAAAAAAGAGATGGAGGGATGTTATTGAATGCAATATGAAAACATCTGATGTGAGCGTATATGATGTGTTAAATGAAAGTTTAGGAGAAGTGTAATCGACTCCAAGTAGTTAGAATAAAAGCGAAAAAATAAAAATGATAACATTAAATATATAGTATTTTATTATGTATTTAATTTTATTCACTTTTTGCTTCTATCGTGACCCAATGTAAGTATGGTAAACAAATTTTTTTCTGTAACAGTTTCACTTTAATGACAGTTTATTAAACTAAATATGAAAAATAGGGGTTTCCATATTAAAATATCAAGGTAAAAGTTTTGTTATTTCTTTAGGTATACAAATAATATCATGTCATATATTATTCTTGAGTTTTTTTATATAAACATTTTTTTTGAATCAAATGAGTTTTTATCCTTGTAAATTAACCTGTATAATTTAAATGTAATAAGTAATTGGACTATTGAATTTTTAGCGGTTTGTCAATTTTACGTTCAACTACAGAAGAATGGCATATTTATGCCCAACTAAAAATCAATGATGCTTCTAATTTTATTTTTGATGATGTTATCCATTATTTTTTCATGATTATTGAATATTTAATTAAAACACAAGGTGCTGTTAATAAAGTAATTTTTACATTTAACTTCTTAAACTTCAGTTTTATGCATTCACTGAAACTGAAAAGTATGAATTTATTCCCGATGCTTACATTTTTAAAAGTAAGTAAAGTAAATTGACAATAAGTAAATTAATTATAGTTTTCTAAAATATTAGATTAGGAAAATTCTATTTGAATGGAATGACAAATAAATATAAGTAATTTCAAACTATATCTTGGATTTTCTGACCCAGAAATAAAATTTGTTAGATTGAAATTTGCATTACGAATATTTTTTTTATGTATCATTGAAAAATTAACTTTTTCGTGTTAACTTAACACGAAAGTACTTTTGAAAATATTCCAGAAATACTGATACTTTTATATACATCTTGAATTAAAGCTTATGTATCATGATTTATTTTGTCCAAAACATGTAAACTTAAACAAAAAAGTACGCTTTTAGTGTAAAAATTAAAAAATGATTGTTATACTTATAATTCAAAGAACCACTAACCAGTATATAATTAAAGAAAAATGAGAAAATGTTACTTTTGGAATAATTCAGTAATTTTTTCTAAAAATTAATCATTATCTATAGATTAGATCTTAGATTTAAAAATCGGCAAAAAAATGGATTTAGAAAAGTATATTTTGGTATGTGATGAAAATTATTTGTAGATCAGTGAATTTATTTATAAATAACAAATTTTTTTTTTTTTGAAAAGCACTTTATCAAACCCTTTAAATTTTTATACACGTTTGCCATAAAATTAACAAATACTTATATTATATAATTTTTTTTAATGTCTCCATAAAAATTAAAATATTAAATTATTGATTATCAATTTCATACTCTAAATTTAATTACTACTGAATTGCTTACAGAATAATAATAATTCAAACTTTTTTGCTTTGGATATTTTTAGTTACATAATATTCTTTAATTATTAAACTTTAAAGTTTCAAATTTTTAAGTTATATACATGTATTATACACGAGAGATTACAATTACAAGTAGATAATTGGTTTTTCATGACGTCGATATTCGCAGATACGCAACATTTATTAACAATTTTAGTAAAGCACATTTTTGTGTGTTTATAAATATAACAACTGGTTATATAGAAAACACATCTATTGATTAATTCATAATTGGCAATATACTCTCCAAGTCTGTGACGTCTTAAAAAAATAATTAGCTACCTAATGTATTCCTTCATTTGTATGCATATATATTTACTCAAAAATGTTTATATTTATATTATGTTTATATTTATAATGTTAATTTATATTTAATTTAAAGTTCTATATCTAATAAATTAATAAATTTTATATTAAAATATAACCTCAAACATTTTATTAAATTCAAAATATGACTTTCCATTTGAAAAAACAAAGTTGAAACCCTTACAAGACATTAGTGATGATTTTGAAAAATTATACATAGCTCATCATTCAAGAATTATATGTAACCAATGGTAATTAAAAAAAAAAATTTTTAATTATTTTATTCTGTAAGTAATAAGTGAGTGGATTATGATAAAAAATTGCCCTGTATTGTCATATCATAAAATTTTAGTTCTTGTGTTATGAATTAATAGTAATAAAATATTAATTTTTTAATAGAATGGTTTGCCCATAAGAGTACATAGAATCAACCTTCTCAACTGCAATTATTTTATTAACATAATCATGAACAAATTTTTAGACAAGTCGACCATAGATATGGTAAAAATTATACATAAATATTTAAATTATTATAACAACTTTTAGCTTCGATGTGAAGCTGAGAAGGTATTGGTTTTACTATGTGTTTTTTTTTTTGTGTCTGTTACCACTTTTTCTCAGCTCTCACTGAACGGATTTCTTTCAACGATACGTCAAAAGATCACAAATTGTATCTAGTCAAAGACATTACCCTTCAAAATTGAAAAAATTTCCCTCGTTCCCCGTAAATGGGGGAAACCTCCAAAAAAATTACAAATTTAAAAATCGCTAATTTTCGAAATTTTTTCAATTTTTTTACTTAAAACAATCTTAAAAATGAACAAATCAATAAGATTTTTTTTTATAGATGCTTGATGTCTTTACCTATCATTTGGCATATATTTTTTATAAATCTAACCCTTAATTTGCTCACAGGGGGGATTTAAATTTACAACTTTTTCACAAAAAATTAACTTTTGAAAGTGTTCCGGAAAGTTTGACACTTTTATATATATCTTAAATTAAAGCTTATGTAATATACTTTAATTTGAAAAAAAAAAAATTTACCTCTGGACTTGTCTTCATGGTGAAATTGGCTACCAAAAGCTATTTTTGTGTGAAAACTCTCGATTTTATTTTTTACATTTTTTACTTTATAATGCTATAACTTATTGAATAGTGTAAGGATCAACACAATTTTTTTATGAGAAATAATAATTTTTAATAATCCCTTTTTCATTCAACATACTTTATTTTAATCAGGATATTAATAAGGAAATACCAGATCATGTATGTAGCTTTTAGAATAATCCACCAATTTCTTAGAATTAAACACTACTAAAGATTTGCATCAAAACGTTTTTTACAATAGTGCTTTTCATCACTGTCAGATATCATTATAGTTGAACCAACTATGCCACGTCATCACTGTCCGCGACCACCCTGTGCTGGTTTTTTTTATAATAAACTTACATAAAATTACTTATAAGTAATTATAAAAATTAAAATACGACAAAATGTAAAGAAGCTATAGTTTTAAATATTATATTATTGAAATACATAATTTTCATATCTCGACTATCGAATGGTTGCTTTTGTATATTCTTATCATCTAACAAAATACATGATTTGGTACTAAAAAAAAATATAATATAAAAAACTTATAGAACCTCAATATATCGTCCCTAAATATTTGAGGTATAAGTACTTACCCTCTTTACAGAACAAATACTAACAATTTACAAAGTTCTAAATGATTAAAGTAAAAAATTTAAATCTCATAGTAGTATCAGACAAGAGTTATATTTATAAATAATATCATTCAACATTTTATTAATACATAATATCTTTCTTTTTAAATAGTATTTAACTTTTATTCATTGTGATAACTACCATGGCTTGATAATTTATTAAGTCTATGAAAAGTTGTGCTAAATTCAATTTTTTTAAGCTGGAGTAAACATAAAAAGTTACGAACGTATTTTAATTTAACATTTTATTAACGTTTTTCTTATTATATCATTGAAATTAAATACGCATTATTTATTCAGTAACTTATAAATGTTGTAATAAATTGTTAATGATTTTCTTAAATGAATTTTTGACGGTGAAAACATTATAAGTGTTTTCGTTTTTCGATATAAGCCTTTTCGAAATGTTTGATTTCATTTAAATTTCATCATAATAAGTATCATTAAAGTATAAATAAAATTAAAATATAATTAATGATATTTCAAAAACTATTTGTCAGGTAATATTGGCTAAAATTAACAAAATGAAAACATGTTCGTTTGTAAATAATTTTAACTCTGAATTCTTAAATTATTTTCAGATAACATTCATAAATGATCCTAAAGAAATTTTAAATGAAGATACAAAAGATATTATGCCAAGTAATATTGGTGGAAATGGAGATGATTTTATTGCTTTAAGTGGTAAATACAATGCACCAATGACTAATTACTAAATACAGTTATCAAATCTCAAATAAAATACTATTTTCCCTTTCTTTTTTATAGACAAAACATATGATAAAATGGTTAAATTTCAAAAAGATTATAAAAAAAAGAAGGAAAAAAATAATATTTAATGAAATTATATTAAATTATACCAAATATTTATGTTAATTATATGTATAATGTCAGTCAATTAAAAAAAACATGTTTCATGAGTCTTGCATTATGTATCCTGATATTATGAATTTTTTAGATAATTGTAGAAAGAACACTATATATCGTCGATACCAATAACCACATATTATATGTTATAGATATTATATAGACGGTTTAATATTTGTTTGCGATAAAGCAGTAATTAAAATATCAGCACACATTTTACCATTTTTGTAATAAGAAATTTAATTTAATTTAAAGAAATTTAAGAAAATTAATCCACTACATATTATTGTAAAAATGTTTGAAGATAATATTTTTTCTCTTAACAAAAATTTAAAATTTTCAATAGTTTTTTGAGAAAATGAGTGTCTTAGCAAATCTTTATCATTCTGTATAGGAAATTTTGTTTTTACTTTCCCCAAAATATGTCTTTGCCATCTATTATTTTATTTCTGAGGAGGTTCTATTCCCTATAATATTTTATGAACTGATTGTAAACTAACTGTTTGGTACAGAATAGAGATGTGTCGTTCGCGAACGAACGGATCGCATTGAACGGGTCAAAATAGTGAACCAAATGATTCAGATCGCCGAACCGTAGTGATCCGGATTCCCCAAAAACTAATTTTTTCCCGTATAAATCACACTGAACCGATTTGATCGCTTACCAAATATCAATGATAACATGATAACATATTCATCTGTCATTTGTTTATACGACACATCCCTAATCCGAATCGCGAATCATACATGCGATTCGCGAATCGAGAACCGCAAAAGAATCAAAACTATACTGAATGTTCCATTCAATTGACTCAAAATATCTTTTAGATCGCGAACGGTTCTTTGAACCGGATCTTCTAGTTGACCTGATTCGAATGAATCGGATCACTTAAGTGAACCATAATTCCCATCTCTAGTACAGAATGCCTTTATCAAAGATTTAGTAGACCAGTTGTTATAAACATCGTTGATTATATTATATCGCGTGATAGCTGATCTCCAGCATCTTGCTTTACTCACCCCTTTACCCACCCAGCATGGCAAATCGATGACCTCCGTGTCAATTGTCATCCGTGTACAGTTTTTTTGTCGTAAGTCAGTTAGTTTTATTATGTGTTATTCTTTTCTGTAGTAAGCGCCTTCGCTTGAATGGTAAATTGTTCGGCCATTGTACGCCGTTATTATTTTATTTGTTAATATACTTTTTATTTGTCAATATACTTTTGAATGAGAGTGATAAGTAATAATTGCCTTATCTAATTTCTTATCATGGTATTAATGCCAAGTTTGTAATGTATACACATTATCATCATATGTATACACAGTAATCATGAAAAGATAGCGTTTTTCTTCTGTCCTTTTCTCAATACGTATTTCAATGTTTAATACCGTAAAATAATACGTAAAAAACAAATTTTGACAAAATTCAAAACGCTACAGAATATTTACTACTCAATATTAATAAGATATTTTTTTTACTAAAATTTTTCTTAAATTTTATTCTACAAAATAGCTATCTTAGATTTTTTTTTACATTTTATTTAAAATTTAAAAATAAATAATATTTTTAATAAAATGTAAAAAAAATAATTATTGAGATATAGCTATAGACCTAAGGTATAACTATTATTTAAAAAAAAAATCAACTAAAAATATTAACTGGATCAAAAGTTATTTAAGTTGTCAGTGAGTGGTGGGCCACTCTGTATTGTAGTCAAATTTATTCTATGCAATAAAATAAAAACAAACTTACATATAGTGAATAATCAAATCCAAACAGAATTGCATTATTTTTAAGAAAATAATTTACAACAAAAAAAAAATAAATAAATAAGAAATATAGAAAGGAGATAGCTGCTATGTCTTTCTTCCTTAGCTTGGTTCTTGCGAATGACCGTCGTTGAAACTACAGGTAACCTTCATGCCTTCTCAGCCCGGCAAATAGCATCGACCCTATCTGACTTTACGCTAGGTAGTTGGTTAACCGGTCCGAACTACCTACCTCTATATTTTCCGACACTATTCATTTATATTTCATTTACTAATGAACGACTTTAAACGATTTGACGACTCTTCATATATATATATGACGTAATATTTAAAACATATACAGGGTGTTCAGTAAGTCAGGAAACGGGTTTCTATTGTTCTCATTGTTTGTAACAATGAGAACAATAGAAACCCGTTTCCTGACTTACTGAACACCCTGTATATTACTTGCTTCTGTGCGTGTTCACACAATAGGGGTAAAAAACCATTATAAACAAACGAATTATTATATTTACAATGTACATATGAATAAGATTTATACAGACTTCAACTCATGCTTTCATCAATAACTATATAAGTCCATAAACTTTATTATTTATTAATTAGGTCATAAAATAGACCAAACAATTATTAGCTAAAATTTTAACCATAATGTAACTCTTATCAAAAAATGTTTTATCGAGTCATTTAGATATTAACTTTTCTTTAGTGGCTGTGTATTTCCTCCGAGCATCATTAATTACCTACTACCATATTTTATGATATTTATTTTCTTATTGTGTGTTAAATTTACAAGCTATATCAGTTTATATTTTATTAAGTAATTAAAAAAGCCCAGCACAGGGGGATCGCGGCACAGTGGTAACGTGACATATTTGGATCAAGTATAATGATATCTGACAGTGATTAAAATCACTATAAAAAAAAAAAACGCTTCGATGCAAATCTTTAGATAGTGTTTAATTTTAAAAATTGGTGGATTATTCCAAAAGCAACATGATCTGTTAGTTCGTTATTAATATCCTGATTCAGATAAAGTATATCAAGTGAAAAAGGGATTATTAAAAATTATTATTTCTCATAAAAAAATTATGTTGAACCATACACTTTTCAATAAGTTATAGCATTATAAAGTTAAAAATAAAAAAATAAAATCGAGAATTTTCACACAAAAATAGCATTTGGTAGCCATTTTCACCATGAAGATAAAATAAAGTCCGAAATTTTTTTTTATCATAATAAAGTACATTACATTAGCTTTAATTTAAGATATATATAAAAGTGTCAGACCTTCCGAAACATTTTCAAAAGTTAAGTTGAAAAAGTTAATTTTTTGTAAAAAAGTTGTCATTTTAAATCCCAACCCCTGTGGACAGTTAAAGGATCAGATATAGCAAAAAATATACTAAATAAAAGATAATGATTTCATGCATCTATAAAAAAAAAAATTATGTTGATATGTTCATTTTTAAAAAAGTTATGGCAGTTTTTAGTAAAAAAAATTGAAAAAATTTTGAAAATTAGCGATTTTTAAATTTGTAATTTTTTTGGAGGTTTTCCCTATTTACGAGGAACGAGGGATTTTTTTTCAATTTTTGAGGATAATGTCTTCCACTAGATACGATTTGTGATCTTTTGACGTATCATTGAAAGAAATCGGTTTGGTGAGAGCTGAGAAAAAGTGGTAACAGACAAAAAAAAAAAAAAAACACATCTTAATAAAACCAATACCTTTTCAGCTTCGCATCGAAGCTAAAATATACTATGTTATTAACAAAAAAATTACTATAACTTAAGAATTGATCCTTAATAATAAACTTAATTATAAAACAAAACGAAACAATGAAATAGCTATGTAGAATTTAAAATTCAATTTTTTGTTTCTAATATAAATATATACAATGTATTTTATGGTTGCATTTTACGATATAGTTATTTTACTTCTATGAATAATTGATTTGTTTAATAAATTTATTTAATTAAAACGATTTTAATTCAAAATTATATTTTAGGTAAATATGTTTGTCTTAAAGGCAAGTTTAAGGGCCAAACATTTCTATTGTTATTAATGATCGTCCGTTCGATCAACCGTTCGACCCACCGTTCACTATCGGATGGTTCCATCATCCGAAGTGAATGAACGTTTTTTATTGTTCTAAACGGTCGTCCGTTTGATGTTTCATACATTCCGAACGTGTTCATGAACAAAGTTCGCCATATAAACCTATATAAAATAAAATCTGAACGTATATGTTCGTGAACGGACGATTCAAAAATAATCCCCCAGGTATACCTTGCAATCACCTCATCCATATCTTTCCAAAACACTTCCTTTTCTATTTCATCTCATACTACTTGTGGTGCATAGGCACTTACTATATTCAACACCGATTTCCTCGAAAATTAATTTTACGACTATAATTCTCTCGCTTGTACTATTTATATGTACTACCTTACGTTTCATCTCCTCATCCATTATTATCCTTATATTATTGTTTGTATAGGTCATACTGGAGTAAAAATAATTATATAATAATTAACTAACATATTAAAACTATATTAATTAATATTAACTATATTAATTAACTATATTACTTTTAATATAGTTCTAATAAAAATCTGAAAAATACAATTTAATTATTTATTTCTATTATAATACTAAATATCCCTCAAGGGGGTACTAAGCATTTAGTACTACGGGTTTAGCGAACCTGGGGCCCTGAGCTGCCCTCTCATGGGTATAATGGAGTTGGCGATAGACTAACAACCTATCCTGTAAAAATCCCTTGTTCAGGAATGAAATATAAATTTGCCTAGGAATTGTGGATCAAAGAACTTTAGACTGGAAAACTGGAAATCGGCATTACGTTTTTGGAACCTGGAATGTACGCACTTTTTTAAACCTGGAGTAGTAGGAACAATAGTTAGAGAGATAGAAAGATACAAGTTAGGAGTAAACATCTAAAGAAGAGATAGAAAATAAATGGGCGAACTATTTTAAGCAGCTGTTGAACTGTAATACACCAGATAGTTTATTCCACTTTGAGAATATGGAAACTAATAATACAATCTGCCAAGCACCGAGCAAGAAGGAAATTCAAAAACAAATAAGAAATTTAAAGAACCATAGAGCACCCGGAGAAGATGGTATCCCTGGAGAGTTGCTTAAAAGTATGGGAAATGGCTTGCTTGAATATATGTCCGGGCTAATAAAAGAAGTTTGGGAAAAAGAAGTGATTCCGGAGGAATGGCAAACAGCACTGATATATCCTATACACAAAAAGGGACATAAGCAGTTGTGTGATAATTATAGAGGTATCGCTCTATTAAACGTTACATATAAAGTGCTATCCAAATGTATGTTAAACAGAGTTAAGCCGTGGGCAGAAGATATTTTAGGAGATTATCAAGCAGGTTTTAGACAAAATAGATCTACCATAGATCAGATATTTGTTTTGAAACTAATTTTCCAAAAAATGTGCGAGTTTAACAGAGAAGTACATGTACTATTTATTGATTTCAAGAAGTCGTATGATTGCATACATAGAGAATCTATGTTGAATGTACTAAAACAGTTCAAATTGCCCCAGAAATTAATTAATCTGATCAAAGCAAACATCCTACACACGGAAATCAAGAACAGAGTTGGCAATATTGTATCACAAGAGATACCAGTATCGACTGGTTTGAGACAAGGGGACGCTCTGTCACCCATACTATTTAATATAGCGTTAGAAAGGGTCATCAAGGAGAGCCGTATTGAAGATAACGGAGTACGATTGGGAGGTTGCATAATAGGAGTATTGGTTTACGCAGACGATATAGTATTACTTGCGGAAAAGAAGGAAAATCTTAGGGAGCAAGCGGGAAAACTATTAGATACGGCAAAAAGAATAGGTTTAGAAATAAACGATGAAAAAACTGAGTACATGATCGTGCAGAGAGGAGAGCTCGCGGATCATGTTCAGCCATTTTTGGAAGTTGGGCAGTACAAGTTTCAGAGAGTGCAAGAGTTCAAATATCTGGGATCAATATTGACACAAAAAGCGATGAACATATTGAAATAAAATCAAGACTCCAATCCGGTAATAAGTGTTTCTACGAACTAAGTAAGTTATTAAAAGCGAGAACGTTCTCGAAGAACCTCAAGATACAACTGTATCGCACCCTCATCCGTCCAGTGGTAATGTATGGATGTGAAGTATGGACATTACGGAAATCAGATCAAAACAGATTACTGATATACGAAAGAAAAATATTAAGACGAAGCTTCGGTCCGTGTATAGATGAGACCATGGGGGAATGGAGAATTCGAAAAAACGAGGAACTTAAACTGCTGTACCAAATGCCTGATATAATTAGAGAAATTAAAAAAAGGAGACTTCAATGGGCTGGACATACATGGAGAAAAGAAGGAACTTTAATCCGAATGATTCAATGTGAGATCCCACAAGAAAAGAGACTCTTGGGACGACACCGATTAAGATGGGAAAACCAAGTCAGGAAGGATGTACAAATGATAGACCCAAGTGCCAATTGGAATGTACTAGTGATGGATAGAGTGAAATGGCAAGATATATGTTTTAATGGTCGAATGCAAAAAGAAGAAGAATAATACTAAATATACAATATGTTTGTTTAACTACGACTCGTTGTATCATATCGTTATAAATTTAAAAAATAATATAATTATTTCTTTTAGAAGTTAATAATATCGTTCAATAATTTGCACAAAAATAATTTGGTCATAATCTCCCTATATCCCACTAAAATTTTATTTTTTTTTAATGAAATGTATATGTTTAAACAACTTACAAACTTGAAAATGTTCCATCTAAGAAAATGACAGTTTAATAACAACTTTTTGGACTAATATTTTATAAGATATATTGGATTTTTTATAACATTACGTGAGGTATAGTGCAGTTCATTAATACCTAATGTAAATGTCGAAATAAAAACTAAAATATTTACCCCAAAAATTTTTCGGCTTTTACCTTTAATTCTCTGTTTAAATACATAGAATACATACTTTATTTTTTTATATGGTCATTTAACTACATAATAAAATAATATGGTCTAATTAAAAAAAAGACTAGCCATAAATCATTTTTGGCAAAAAAAATTTGTTTAGTTTTTGAAAATTTATTAACATTAATCAATATAGAGTGGAGAAAGACTGCGGCAGATTAATGATAAAAATAACATAACCAACACTTAACCTCACTTAACATTGAACTAGATATGACTTTTTGACGTTAAGACTATTTTAATATTTTTTATAATAATTAGGTATAAAAATCTGAAGGCCATAAAAAAAATATATACACCTTTTTTCTAAATTTAGTGTAAATAATAAATCTTAAAAATTTAACAAGCTTATAAAATTAAAATTATCTAATTACAAAGTCTTAAATTAAATTGCAATTATAATATATTTAAATTCGTTTACATCTTTCGTCATCGTCATATCACAAAAACTTGAGATTTCTAATGAGCGATTTAAAAAATAAAAAATAAGTATTTCAACTTCATTAAATAGTTAGTTTTAAATATACTGATTTTTCTGCGGTTAGGGCATTATGATAGTAAACTCAACTTCAAACAGTCATAATTTGCAATATAAAATGTTATTGAAAGAAGTAAACAAATGATGTCATAAAGAAGTATTATAGATCTATGAGTTATAGGTATTAATAATTAAAAAACATTAATATTAGTAATTTATTAGTTTACTTTTAAATGCAATAAATAACATTCATAAAAAATTATTGTTTTTTTTTTTTTTTTTATTAAATATCTTTCTTCTTATTTTTTTCTAGGAAATTTGTACAATAAACAAATTTTTTTATTTTGATCAATTTGTAATGCTGATATTTATTCATTAAAACGAAAACAATAAACGTAGTGAATAATTAAAATGTAAAAAAATATTTCCACACTAATTAGTTATTCTTATAATATAGAGAATTTATAAATCTTAAATTAATATATCAATAATTTAATAGCATAAATTAATAACTGTATATTTTAATGTCTAAAAATTTTAAAATTTGAAGCTAATTTTATCTAACTATTTATTAAAATTATAAAATCTTTTGATCACATAATTTATGAAGAACTGATATTTTAATAAAATGTTGATACGCACGTCTAGCTCTGTCACATTACATCACTAACGAAAGTGTTTTAATTTATAGTGTAAAAATTTTTTATTTTCTTTATTGTTTTTTTTCAAATGGTTTTGCATGAAGAAATCGTATAATTTAATTTTTCTTTAAATATTTTTACTAAAATACTATTGTATAAAATTTAAACTATTTTGGAAATTATAGAAAAATCTGTGCTAATAAAACCCTGTAAAAACTTGAGAAATTAATTTATTTTTCCACATTTTATTTATTGATTCTAATGTTTTTTCTTTAAAAGTAACTATAAATCAAAGTAAAGATTAATTTATTTCTTAGAAAACATTACAAGTAAATAAAATGAAAACACAGAATACATTTCATTATAAATTACCATTACTTTGGCCAACGAATATAGTTCATTTTTTAAATCTTTATGTGATTATAATTTATACCTAATATCGATTAATCTATATATTTGAATTATACTTTTGATACAAAATAATTGTAAGATATTTGAAATTAATACAATGAAGAAACAGCTGCATAATTATTTGAATATTCTTATTATACTAAGTTTTTTTTTGCATAAAGGTAGGTAAATATAAAGTTAACTTATCAAACACTAAAAATTTTTTTGTATAATTAACATTTTTCGTTAAATGTATCAACATTTTTATTCAATAAAAAAAAATAGAAATTAAGTAATTTTAACATTTTTTTGTGTGTTTGGAATCGCAGATAAATAATATATAAATTACTTACAATACTAGTATAAAACTTTATACTGGTAAACCAAGGAAAAAATCAAAAAATATAAATTTTTCTACTAACCAACGAACTTTTTTACTATTTCATATAAATGGTCATGTTTTGATATGGCGGCACCTTCCTATGAGGGAAAAGAAGAATAGTGTATAGTCAAAATTACACATCTTATTATATAAAAATGACGCAAACAGGTTTATAGTCATGTAGCTATTTATAATAAGATTTAGAAAAATAACTCGAAATAATAAATTTTCAAAAAATATTAATTAAAAATATTATTAACATTATACTATAGGTTCATCTATATTAAACTACAACTATAAATATTATTTTGAAACATAATATTTTGTTATAGACTAATCCAAATAAACTTAAAACCATAACAGAAAAAATTTGAAATATTTTGATGACGGAAAATTTATTTACAACTGAAACTCTAAAACAAAAATATCTTTTCGAAAACCAAAAACATTGTCATTATGGTTATTAACAACAAGTTTAGAATAATATATATTATTAATTTATAATTTAATATTGAAGATCCATTGCGGAATCCCTATTTCCTATCCTTGTATTATCTTACAACAATATATGAACTAATAAATAAATAACTTAAATAAAACTAATTTTCATTAAACATTTATCAATTATAATCAAACTTATTGAAAACTGTACTGGTTCGCCAGATCTTTTCACTAAAGAATTTCTAATAAATCTAAAATTATTAACATCATTACAAACTTAACTATTTAATATATGTAAATCATTATGCAAAATGTCTTTATACAGCCTGATACGTCATTAACGATACTATAAATTATCTCTTTAGAGTAATAGCTTTAAAACTAAAAAATGTCTTTAAAAAATCTTATTTTTTTAAACAATAAATAAATATATAAAACATTTAACGCAAATAACTAAACCATATTTTCTATAACATAAAAATAATAATGGATTTATCAAAAGTAACATTTGATTTTAAATTACGTAATTTTTAAAATTATAGTACACCACAAATTAAATTATTGGATTTAATATTTTATAGAATATAATAAAGTTAATAACGATTTTTTCTTTATGACAATTGTATCCGCATTAATTTCTATCGAATTAATAGGAATATTATTTATTATTATTCTAATAGAATAGTTTGAATGTCAATTTTATTATTTGTTATAATTTTCATAATTTATTTCTTTTTATACTAAATTTAGAAGGGAAAAAGCTGTAGCACAGTATAGACGTGGCATAGTTGGGTCAAGTATAGATGATATTTGACAGTGATTAAAATCACAATCATAAGAAACGCTTCATTGTAAATCAGTAGAACGTTTTACATTTTAATATATTGGTGTATTATTCCAAAAGTAAAATTAACTCCTATTTTTAGATCAACTTCACACGCTATTTGCACATAGAACATAAGTCATCGGAACAAATTTTGTTTTAACTTCTTGTACATATATAAGATTTAGATTAACATATAAAGGACGCAGTATTTCCGTAACATTTTCAAAATTAAAGTTGAAAAAGTTCTACTTTTTATACGTATGTTTCAAGTTTTGAACGTCCCTCGTATAAGGGAAATTTTCCCGATTTAGCAAAAAGTATGTCGGATAAAAGAAGTATATATAATGTAATAAGGAAAAAAAAATTTGCGTTGATGCATAGATTTTTCGAAAAGTAATAGCAATTTAAAGTTGAAAATATAAAATCGAAAAATAAAAATTTTAACATAAATATAGCATGAAGACTACGTCCTATTCTATCATCACATAATATTGTACCAGATAGTCAGTTTGGGTTTCGTAACAGACATTCAACAATACATCAAATACACCGATTAACTGATGAAATTGCAACAACACTTGAAAATAAACATTATTGTACCGGTCTATTTTTGGATGTAGCACAGGCCTTCGATAGGGTCTGGCACGAAGGATTACTATTCAAATTAAAACACTATTTACCAGCTCCATATTTTCTCATAATAAAATCATATTTGGAAAACAGACACTTTGTCGTTCGCCAAGGAAATGAATTCTCATCATACCAAAAAATAAATGCAGGTGTACCTCAAGGAAGTGATTTATCCCCAGACCTTTATAATGCATTCACTGCCGATATCCCTCAAACGGATAAAACAATTTTAGCCACATACGCAGACGATACAGCTGTACTATCAATTAATAATGATCCAATCGAAGCCAGTCTTTCACTACAATATCATGCCAACCTTATTGACTTATGGGCAAAAAAATGGCGAGTAAAAATCAATGAAGATAAATCTGCTCAAATCACCTTCACTCTAAATTTCAAACCACAAGAATGTCCTCAAATTATTATGAACAATATTCCCATACCTATAAAAGAAGAGATCAAATACCTAGGAATTACACTTGACAAACGATTGACGTGGGGCCCCCATCTAAAAGAAAAAAGAAAAAGTGCAAGAAACAGACTACACCTTCTACGTCCTCTCCTTACTTCAAAACTCCAACTCAAAACAAAACTTTTACTGTACAAATCTATAATACGTCCAGTTTGGTCTTATGGAATCCAAATCTGGGGTCCTGCAAAACCATCAAATATAAGGCCAATTCAATCGTTTCAATCAATAGCACTCAGACTTATTACCAAATGCCCATGGTATATAACAAACGTAAATTTACATAAAGACCTACAAATACAAAACGTAAAAGAACTTGCAGTAATGTACTACAAACGATTTCATCAAAATTTATTATTACATAGAAACCCGCTAATTAATAAAATGTCAACAAATACTTTACCCTCAAACCCTCCTCGCAGACTAAAACGACAATGGAATAGAGATCTACTAAATAACTAAAGACTAACTTAAACAGCATGCTAGAGGTGTGACTAACGAGTCATTTCCCAATCATAATAGTTCATGT